TCAAAACATAAAATACAAAGAACTCCACTTAAAACGAAAAATAAATTACACAATATTTAAAAAGATAAAAAATATCATAACAATTCATTTTGCCCACATTCTTTTATATAGTGATGGCAAACATTAAGAGATGGAGACTTCGTCAAAAATTTGGGTTCAAGTTCAATAAGAGCAAGAAACAAAGTGATCGCTTGCTTGCATTCACAAAGCACCGTGACATGATATTTAAGAGTGCGAGTGACCTTTGTACTCTTGTTGGCATTGACATTGTAATACTCATAACTTCTTTGTGCGGTATAACTTATTGTTTTGTTCATCCTAATGTTGAGTCAGTTCAAAGCCAATTTTTATACCAAACCCTTTTGCCAAAAAGTATTTTGGAGCCATACCAGAAGGTTCATATTGATGAACTTAACAAAAAAATTAATGAAGTGTGTAAAAGTTTGAAAGCTGAGGAAAAACGTGCAATGATATTGAAGGAAAAGAAGGATGCAAGGCCCAAGAAGGTGTGGGAGGAACCCATCCCAGAACTTAGTAAAGTTGCTATCGAAAATGTTAAGCGTATTCTTCGTGAAATGCAAACATTAGCTTTGAATAAGATTAACACTGAATACTTGTGTGCGCAAGCTATACATGGTATTAAGGAATCTGTACCCAATCATATGTGATTGATGCTTCGCGAAGCATGGAAATTGGCAGTTGATGAGCGGTTTTATGTTAGACACATTATGAACTAAATATGTCATGTGACGATCTATTCGTCACCTAATGATATAGATTAAATAAATGGAAATATTTATTTTTATTTGTTTGGTGAATATTTTTTTATTAGATTTGTTTATGTTATCATATCACATATGCCCCAAAAATGTCGATTTATTTTACTTAAGTGCTATAAAATGTTGATAATGCACGAGAATTCAAAAGCCTTTTAAGTGGATGGCATGTCTTCGCCAAGATTACATATGCTAGAAGTACCAGATTAATATGTTACTTTCATTAATATAGAATATAGAATTAGATTTGTTACCACCAGAATGAAATAATAACATGCATTATAATACATAAATTTGTAAGGTTTCTATATTTATGTAATTAATCTCTCTTCTCTTGGATGATTAGGCGACTTTACACTATGCACTTCATTTAAAGATTTTTTTTACATAACCACATTTGTATGTTGTTGTTAAATGTGGTGTGACACATGACATATTTGGTTCATATGTGTCAACTTTTAAAATAGAAACTTAAATACTACCTTATGAAGTTAGGGACTATTATTTCCAAATATGATCGAGTTTATAAAGAAAATTATAGATAGAGGGATTATTAGTGACAAATTTGAGAAATGTAAGTATGAACATAAATTAATTAATTTTAGGGACTTAAATATTATGAAATTGATATTTAAAAGTGTAAGTTGAGATTCTTAACATAATAATGTTGATAGATGCCATTTTATGAAATTATAGAATGAGAAACCAAACGTGCCAAATCCTTAAAACTTAGGTTTTACATATCGTTCACTAACTTTTGGGAGTTAAAATACTAATAAATTTATATTTATAGGCTTTAGTTGAAATCTTAAGTTAGAAATGATGGTAAATGTCTTTTTTGGACATTTAAGAAAGATGGACTAAAAGTTCCAATTCCTTGAAACTTAGGTTGACCATGAATTGAATTATTTGAGACTAGAAATGCTAAGATTGTATTTATTTTGGGTTTCTGAGAAGAAATATAAATTATTATATTAGAAATGTTAAAATTGTATTTATTTTGGGTTTCTGAGAAGAAATATAAATTATTATATTAGAAAGAATAACTGAGGTTAAAAGAAGAAAACTTTTAAGCAACACACCATTAAGTTCTTCCTTCATCCCATTCATCATTTGAAATGTACACGAGAGACTACAAGGCTGTAAAATAGCTATTTTTGAGAAAATAGTTGAAGATAGAAGAGTTTATGGAAGATCTTTGAAGATTGGAGCTCAAATTCATTTTCTTTGATGATTTTTCATTTCCAATTATATGAGTTGTTTGGGGATTTATTAAACCCCAAATGATGAAGATGAAGTATATAACCATTGCATTTCAATTTTGAGTGATGATTCGGTATGAAATCATAGGTTGAGCTTCAAATCTAAGTTAAGAGTTTAATGTATGAAGATTTCAACTCCAAGTATGTTGAAAATGAATTTTAAGTTGTCGATCATGCTTTAATGGAGGTTTTGGAAGCCTAAATCCATGAAACCCTTACTAGAGCTTAAGGATTTTGATTTCCAATAGATTCAGGTGTAAAATTGGTAAGTCACCCATAGATTTACTTTTATAATCTTATCAGGTTATTAAGCTCTTAACATGTTTAATAAATGATTTATATCGTCGCCAATGCCAATAATTGATGAAAACTTAAACTAGTCACCATTTTGAAGTTTTAAAGTCTAAGAAAGGAGTTTATGAAATGATCATTTTTATCCATGATATATAGGTGTTGGAAATAATGTTCATAGTCACAACAGTTGGTAATATTACTATTAATAGCAGGGTGCTTTTGGGTTACACACAATGAAAAATATAAGATACAATTTGGCATGAGAGTTTTATTGGGTTATAATTTGTTAATTAATTAAGTGCTTAACTAATTAATATAAACTAGTAGACATAAGTGGTTTAAGTGTAAATATTTGAAAGTCATAGATAATTACTTAGTAACCCAGTAATTATCCAATAAGGATTCCTAAACCTCTCTTATAAATAGATGAGCCTATTACCGAGTTTTCTAAGAGACTTTCAAGTGAGAAAACCCTAAAATCGACAGCCTCTCTCACCTTTCAAAGAAACCAGACAATTTATTTATGTGTTGCGTATATTGACCTAGAACGCCACTTTACTCGAAGAAAAACCCTAATCGTTTAGGGTTTTTAGTGCTTCATAGTTCTGAGGTCCGTCAAGGTTGCTGATTTTCCTTCTATTGGTGATACTGTGAAAGAGCAATTCTATGTTAGGGTCTAAACATCTGTTCAACTATCAAGTAGAAAAAAAAAATATTTTGAGTATATGTTTTCGCTTTCGTTCTATGGTTGTTTTACAGCCGCTTAATATTTTATTGAACTTGTGATCATGTTGTTTTTTGAGGTTTGTTTTGAGCTTCCCCTGTGCGCCTTGATTTTGAGTATATGTTTTCTCTTTGATTCTATGGTTGTTTTACAGTTGCTTAATATTTTATTGAACTTGTGATCATGTTAGTTTTTGGGGTTTGTTTTGTACTTCCCCTGTGCGCCTTGATGGCATTGCTTGAATCTCCATAACCCATAAGTGGTGTCAAAGCCACTAGTTCAAATCGTGTGCATTGAGATTTCAACTGTTTGTGTTAACCATATTTTCATTATAGTTGACTGATTAGATTAGAACACTATAAGTTTTAAATACCTTTTCGCAAACTAATAATCGAATTAGGGTTTAAGTAGAAAAATGGTTCTGTCAGTTTACGCGATGCGTCACCTTTGTGTATGAAATGCGTCGACAACGGATTACCTGAACCCTAATCCATAAAACGCGACATACTGCACGAACTTACACGTGGGATGTGATACGTGGTGTAAGTCCCAAAAATGTTGATAAAATTTTGATTTTTAGTTGAATCATATCATTCATTTATTTTTTCGAAAATCAGAGTAAAAGTATTCTCAAAACATTAGAGTAATTAAAAAACAGTCAATGCAGAATAAATCTCTAGGGGATGCTATGCGTTCAAGCAGCGCACTTCCCTTTGGAAACAGAAGTATCTGAAAACATTTAAAACATAAACCGTAAGAACAAAGCTTAGTGAGTTCCCTAAACTACCTTACACAACAATACATAAAAAATGCATGTACATCGGGCCCACAACATAAGATTGGATTGCCCCCGCCCAAGCCCATAACTTATGACTAGATTACCCCCGAGCCCACAAATTATGACTGGATTGCCCTCGGGCCCACATCCTAAGTAAGGATTGCTACCGAGCCTACATCATAAGACTGGATTGCCCTTCTCGGCCCTCATCTTATGACTATATTGCTCTCGGCTTTGTTGGCTTACAACACAAAGCAATACTGCCTCAACCCAACCATACTATGTCAACATATGAAAACAGATAAACAATAACCAACAATACATGTAATCATATAGATCTATCTATCTATCAGATCACTACAGTATACCAACATCCTACACACAAGGACACATACTGCAGTACAAAGTATAGTGAGAAAACTTACACGACTAACCAACAGAAGCTTACTAGTGTCAAACCCTCGGTCGGTGGCAGAAACGATGAGCCGTGATAGGGTCCGTTTGATTATCCAAATCATAGAGCCAATCAAACGAATTATCTTATTAATAACCCATGATTACATTGATTCTTACATAATAAAATCTAACTAATTCCATGCTTCTTGTCCTTCCTTGAAACGATCTTCTCTTCTTTCGATTTCCTAGTAATACATGGGTTTTAAAATCGGTCAACATAATGTTGGTGTGTTCACAAGTTTTATAGTTTTCAAAGTACTCTTCGATATAGGATCTTTGTTTATGAATACATAGACTTTCGAAACTTTTCTATCACTATAAGTTTTTAGGGAGTATTTCTTTTTACTATATTTAATTCGTAACTTCTCATATTCTCCTTTAATTTTTGATCTGCTTCTTCCATCTTTTAGGAAGGGATTTGATTTATACACTCGATTAGTTTCAAGTAGTTATTACATAAGATACTCAGTAAAGTATTTATATATATATATATATATATATATATATATATATATATATATATACCGGATCGATTTAGAGACAAGAGAAAGAGTTTGAGGTGTGGAATTGGAATAATTGAAGACTTCTATATTTAGGGCTGATTTTGACATGCACGCGATGCAAATAGAATCTATGAGTGTCGTGAACGAACCTTGTGGCACCATCTAAACTTGCCATGTTTCAACTTTCTGGCGGTCCAAGTCTCTTGTATCTCGATGAATCCGGATGTCAGACGTGTACGTCGTGCGTGGCGTGCATTACACGCACACAATTAATATTTTTCAAAAATTCGTATCTGTTTTATATGAATTTTGTTTCCAAAATTCTTTATATATTTGTGTAGCTATTGATGAGTACTACAACTTTCCATTAGGTTGTTTTGGATAATTCTAACTTCCATTTTTAGCCGTATTTTATGGTTTTCCAAAAAATTATATCTTCTGCGTGCGTACTCCGTTTTTAGCCTTCTTCGCCTCTAAGTTCTTATACCGAGGAGTATTACGACTTTCATTGTAATGACTTCAACCAAAACTCAACCAATCACTTATTACTATTTTGACATTATGAAATTTATGGACACGGTTGATTTCACTTTTTATAAAACCACAACTCCTCCAATCGAAGTCAAATTTGTATGAATTTTATATCCTTGGAACCATGTCATCGTGTGCTTTCCAAACATGTTAACCATTCTGGGAGACGCCATGATATTTTGGTCACTTATTGTTTAGTCTATTAGTCATATTATTCTTATATGTAAGAGTCTATTCGATCATATTTATCCAGTTGTCACATTCTCCCTCTGTTTAAGAATTTTTGTCCCAAAATTCAGACTGTAGAGTTTTTCTTATTAGGGGAGATCGATTTTTCTTAATCT